GGGGCGCTGTGGGTCAGAATGGACGCCATGGCAGTGGGTGTGGTTTGGGCTTTGTTTCTATAAAGATGACAACCTAGGAAGCCCTATGGGGCAGTTCCACTCTGTCAGGTGGGGTTGCCATAAGTCCAAAATCTACTCAAGGACACCCCACAGAAACATACATGAATATGCACAAAAGCGATTGGGGAGCGATTGTATGCGTTACTGGAGAATTCCCTACAGAATAATGAGTCACCTCCTCCAGCTCACTACACTTCCTGTGTGATTCGCCCAGCCTTGGGGTGCTGTGGGGAGGTACGCACATGGCGCTGCCTGGGGAAGACTCACCGCAGGTCTCTTCGTCAGCGCCGTTCCCACAGTCATTGACGCCGTCGCAGTGGAAAGCCCGGGGCAAGCACTTGGTAAGGTTCCCACAGGGAAAATACCCTTTTTGGCACATAGGGGTGATAGTATGGCCCTCTGTTAGCGCAAAATCTGTATGACAGAGAGGACAAAAATCGTACATAAGCGAAATTAGGAAGGGCTTACAGAGCCCAGCCCTTTTCACAGTATGCCATTTAATCTCCCAAGAACTTTATAAGCTGAGTTTATCTGGTCGTGTTTTTTCTCTCTCACTTACGGTTCAAAACCATCAACCACTCGGCTGAAGGAAGACTGGGTGATCTACGATCTACTTCCGTAAAGATTTACAGCCTCAGAAACCCAGTAGGGGTCACTATGACTCAAAAATGACTGATGACTGTTTTTGTTTTTTTTTTAACCCATCACTGGATCACTGGCCGATTCAACAATTTTTATATGTCTACTTAGTGACGGTGATGGCGTTCATCAAGTTGTGTAACTGTTAACCACTGTCCTTTTCTGGATTATTCCACCATCATTAACAAAAACACCAAAAAAAAAAAAAAAAAAATCAAACTCACTGCGTGCCGCTGACTCACAGCGACCCCCTTTGGCTTTCCCAGATGGTAAATCTTTATGGAAGTAGATTGCACAGACGTCTTCCCACGGACTGGCTGGTGAGTTTGAACTGCCAACCTTCTGGTACTATGCCACCAGAGCTCCTTTAACTTGTTGTTAGATGCCATCGAGTCATCTCGGACTCATAATGACCCCATATACAGCAGAACGAAACACTGCCTGGTCCTCTGCCAGCCCCACAATCCTTGCAATACCTGAGCCCATCATTGCAGCCACTATGTCAGTCCATCTTGTTGAGGGCCTTCCCCTTCTTTGTCGACCCTGCACTTTACCAAGCATGATATCCTTCTCCAGGGAATGGTCCCTTCTGACAGAGCTAAGTAGGTGAGACAAAGTCTGCTCATTCTTGCTTCCAAGGAGAATTCCAGCTATACTTCCTCCAGGACAGATCTGTTAGTTCTTTTAGCAGTCCATGGTACTTTCAGTATTCTTCGCCAGCACCACAACTCAAAAGCATCAACTCTTCTTTGGTTTTCCTTATTTGTTGTGCAGCTCTCACATGCATATGAGACAATTGAAAATATCATGGCTTGTGTCAGGTGCACCTTAGTCCTCAAGGAGACATCTTTTTGCTCTAGAGCACTTGAAAGAGGTCTTTTGAAGCAGGTTTGCCCAATGCTATACGTCATCTGATATCTTGACTGCTTCTCCCATTGGTGTTGATTGTAGAACAAAGTAATATGACATCCTTGACAACTTCAATCTTTTCTTCAGTTATCGTGATGTTGCTCATTTTTTTTTATATTGACATGTAATCCATACTGCAGACTGTAGTCTTCAATGTTCATCAGTTAAGTATTCAAGTTATCCTCATGTTCAGCAAGCAAAGTTGTGTGGTCAGTGTATCGCAGGTTGTTAATGAGTCTTCCTCCAATCCTGATGCCACATTCTTCTTCATATAGTCCAGCTTCTCGAATTATTTGCTCAGCATACAGAATGAATAAGTATGGTGAAATGATACAACCCTGACACACTCCCTTCTTGATTTTAAACCATGCAGTGTCCCCTTGCTGCATTCAAATGACAGCCTCCTGGTCAAGGTACAGGTTCCTCATGAGTACAATCAAGTGTTCAGGAATTCCCATTCTTCTCGATGTTATCCATAATTTGTTATGGGCATGGAGGATTCTATAGGCAATCGAATGCTTTTGCATAGTCAATAAAACACAAGTAAATATCTTTCTGGTATTCTTTGCTTTGAGCCAAGATCCACCTAACATCAGCAATGATATCCCTTGGTCCACGTCCTCTTCTGAATCCAGCTTGCATTTCTGGAAGTTCTCTGTTAATATACTGCTGCAACTGTTTTTGAATTATCTTCAGTAAGATCTTACTTGTGTGCCATATAAATGATAATGTTCAATAATTTCCACATTCTGTGGGATCACCTTTCTTTGGAATGGGTACAAATATTGATCTCTTCCAGTCAGTTGGCCAGGTAGCTGTCTTCCAAATATCTTGGCATAATCAAGTGAGTGCTTCCAGTGGGGAATCTGTTTGTTGAAACATCTCAATGGGTATTCCATCAATTCCTGGAGCTTTGTTCTTTGCCACTTCCTTCAGTGCAGCTTCGACTTCTTCCTTCAGTACCACTGGTTCTTGATCATATGCTACCTCCTGAAATGGATGAACATCGACCAGTTCTTTTTGGTACAGTGACTCTGTGTATTCCTTCCATCTTCTTTTGATATTCTCTGCATCATTCAATATATTGCCAATAGCATCTTTCAATATTGCAATTCAAGGCTTAAATTCTTCCCTCAGTTCTTTCAGCTTGAGAAATGCCAAGTGTGTTCTTGCCTTTTGGCTTTCCAACAGCATATCTTTGCACATTTCATTTTAATAATTGACTTTGTCTTCTAGAGCTGCTCTTTGAAATCTTCTGTTCAGCTTTTTTATCTTGTCATTTCTTCAAATTGCATTAGCTACTCTCTGTTTAAGGGCAAGTTTCAGAGTCTCTTCTGACATCTATTTTGGTCTTTTCACCTTTTCTCATCTTTTTAATGACCTCTTGCTTTCTTCATGGATGATGTTCTTGATGTCATTCCACAATTCCTCTGGTTTCCAGTCATTGGTGTTCAATACATCAAATCTATTCTTTAGATGGTCTCTAAATTCTGGAGGGGTATATTCAAGGTCATATTTTGGCTCTTGTGGACTTGTTTTAATTGTCTTCAACTTGAACTTGCATATGAACAGTTGATGGTCTGATCCACAATCAGGTCCTGGCCTTGTTTTGGCTGAACATATTGAGCTTTTCCATTGCCTCTTGCCACAGATGTAGTCAATCTGATTCCCGTGTACTCCCGTGTACACCATCTGTGTTGTTGAAAAAGGTATTTGACATGAATAAGTCATTGGTCTTGCAAAATTCTATCATGCAATCTCCAGTGTTATTTCTGTCACCAAGGCCAAATTTTCCAACTACTGGTGGTTCTTCTTTGTTTCCAACTTTTGCATTCCAGTCACCAGTGATAATCAGCACATCTTGATTGCATATTCGGTCTATTTCAGACTGCAGAAGTTGGTAAAAATCTTCAATTTCTTCTTTGCCTTTGGTGGTTGGTGCATAAATTTGAATAATAATAGTATTAACTGGCCTTCCTTGTACGCGTATGGATATTATCCTATCACTGACAGCACTGTACTTCAGGATAGATCTTGAAACATCCTTTTTGATGATGAATGCCACACCATTCCTCTTCAGTTTGTCATTCCTGGCATAGTAGATCATGGTTGGCTGATTAAAAATGGCCAAAACCGGTCCATTTCAGCTCACTAATGCCTGGGATATCAATCTTTATACATTCCATTTCATTTTTAAGAACTTCCAGTTTTTCTAGATTCCTACAGCATACATTCCATGTTCTGACTATTAATGGATGTTGGCAGCTGTTTCTTCTCATTTTGAGTCATGTAACATCAGCAAATGGAGGCCCCAAAGCTCTACTTTATCCACATCACTAAGGTCGGCTCTACTCTGATGAGGCAGCTCTTTTCCAGTCGTATTTTGAGTGTCTTCCGACCTGAGGGGCTCATCTTCTGGCACTGTATCAGGCAATGTTTCAGGGCTATTCGTTAAGTTGTCCTGTACTCATTCATAAGGTCTTTACTGGTCACTTCTTTGAGATGTGGATGGCCTCTTCCTTCTTCCGAGCTGGTCTCAATCTGGAAGCTGTGCTGACACCTGTGCACCATGGGCAACCTGCTGGCACAGCCTACAGCCTCACAGCAACATGCAAGCCACCCAAGCAGGACAAACTTTCAGAGAAGTTCCTCTCCTTCAGGTGTTCCTACCGCTCTGCTCGCTTCCTGGCCTTCCCCTACCTGTTCCGGCCGTTAGCCCTGGCTCCCACTTCCTGCCTGGGGACTCCTAATGTCTGTTTTCTTTGAATAATTTTCTTAATTACAACATTTTAAACAGTCATGCAACAGGTTATGTACTCAACTATTAGGCAAAAGGTTGGTGGTTTGAATCCCCCAGAGGCACCTAGGATGACAGGCTTGCCACCTTCTTCTAAAAGGTCACAGCCTTGAAAACTCTATGGAGCCTGGTTCTACTTGGTACGCATGGGGTCGCCATGAGTCAGAACAAAGTTGATGACAACTAATAACAAAGGCAACCTCATACCTGATTGGTCCCCAGGAGGCATAAGCATTTGTTCTTGGCCACCGACCTAAGGACAGCCATCTGAACTCACCTAGTGGTTCTGAGGGAGAAAGACCTGGTAGTCTGTTCCCATAAAGATGACAGCCAAGAAAACCCCACGGGGCAGTTCTGACATCAGCAAAGATATCCTTTGTTGCACACCCTCTTCTGAATCCAGCTTACATTTCTGGACGTTCTCTGTCAATATACTACTGCAACCATTTTTGAATTATCTTCAGTAAGATTTTACTTGTGTGTGATATTAACGATATTGTCTGATAATTTCCACATTCTGTTGGATCACCATTCTTTGGAATAAGTACAAATATGACTCTCTTCCAGTCAGTTGGCCAGGTAGCTGTCTTCCAAATCTCCTGGCATAGCCAAGTGAGTGTCTCCAGTGGGGCATCTGTTTGTTGAAACACCTCAATGGGTATTCCGTCAATTTCTGGAGCCTTGTTTTTCAGCACTTCCTTCAGTGCAGTTTCAACTTCTTCCTTCAATACCATTAGTTCTTGATCATATGCCACCTCCTGAAAGGGGTCATATGGGGTCTCCAGGTGTTGGAATTGACTTAATGCCAGAGGTTTGGGTTTTGCTTTTTCTTTAAATCATACTGAATATCACCTATACTAAGAACAGAATCAAGGGTCTTCTGAACTCACTGCAAGATGACAACAAGTAAGACCAATGGCATCATCTTCTTTTGTATGAAACCAAAGACCTGTCCATTCCTGGACACAAAGAGGAAAAGTTGCAAGCTCCCAAGATCAAATCCATGCATTTATTTACTCAATTATTATTGATAAGAGGATTTGCTGTGACTTACTGTGAGCCATATATGCAAAAGGACAGTTTTATAACAAAATCTGAGTTACAGAGAAATCTAGAACCACAACAAAATGTTGTTGTTGTTGTTGTTGTTGTTGTTGTTGTTAGGTGCTGTCGAGCCAGTTCTGAGGTGTAATGACCCCATGTAATTACAGACGAAAAGCTCGTTTGGTCCCATCCTCACTCTGTAGATGTGTCGGAGGCCACTGGATTAACCCCCAACAATCAATCGTACCTACCATTCACTGGTAGCATAGTGCCTAAGGCACTTGACTGCTAACCAGAAGGCTGGCGGTTCAAACCCACAGCCACTCCTTGGAAGGAAGGTTGGGCAATCTACTTCCGTACCCAAGGAGGGGTCACTATGAGTCAGGGCCAACTCCACGGCACATAACAACAACAACAACAACAACATTCACCAAGCGTATTGGGTGCCAG